CTGCTCCACCGGCTTCTTTATGCCGATACACACATCCTGTTCCTCTGGGGGACCGCCTAGGTCCGGGGAGGGATTTTTCGGAAGTACCCGGAACTGTTTGCAAGGTTCCGGCAGTCCGGCCGCTGAGAGCTTCTTCAGCTACGGAGCCGCCCGTTACTCCTGCCGTTTCGGACAACGAGCGGCAGTGATGACTCCGGTGTCTGGTTCGCGCAGGCCGGAGCGGGAGGCCTCGGGCTTCGGGGGGAAACGTCGCAGTTCGTCGAGGAGCCCCAGGCCCAGTAAAGCCGCCCGCTCCCCGCGGGGCCGCCGCTCGCGCTCGCGCTCGCGTTCTTGCTCTCGGTCCGGAGACCGGAATGGCCTCAGCCAAGGCTCCCGAAACCAGTCCTATCGCTCCCGCTCGCGGTCACGCTCTCGAGAGCGGCCCTCTGCGCCACGGGGCACCCCCTTCGCTTCTGCCTCCTCGTCCGCCCATTACGGCGGCTACTCGCGCCCCTACGGGGGCGACAAGCCGTGGCCTAGCCTTCTGGACAAGGAAAGGGAGGAGAGCCTGCGGCGGAAGTGAGTGACACGGGCGCACCTTCGCTGTGAGGAGCCCACCTGCCTTCGGAGTCCGCTTCATCTTTCATCTTTCCGACTATTGGCATTTCGCGCTCTCGGCCTGCCTTGTGCCCATTTTCTTCCCTTCCTTCAGTCTACCCACGACAACGCCTTATTCGCCCTTTTCTTCCCTTAGACTTTCACCCACCCTAGGGCCCCATCATTCAGTGCCCTGGTCTCTCCCTACTCTCTTCTGCCTCCTTACTTGTAGCAGACATGGCCAAGAGCCAGACCTACGGGAATTGAAGCATTTACTTGGTTGTGCCATAATTCGTGATCATGTTTTTATGCCCCACGAGTTCATGGAAAGGAGGAGCACTATTTAATCGATCATAAAATTAACAGTGCCTAGCAACTTGTTGAATGGTCAGACAAGTTTGAGATACCGGGATATGTAAGTGGCAATATTTTTTTAGCGAGTTGGGAAAGACTGAGATAAGGGGTTTAAATTGGAGGGGAGAAAAGCCTCTGAGAGAAGATGATTGAATGTAGAAAATCTGATCTGCTAAACTGTAAGTTAGCCTAAATTGAGAAAGGTCTTGTTGAGATCAGCCTTCATTGAGAAAGACCTTGTCAGTCTTGACTATGAAAAATGAGGTCAGGGTGTTCAGGTCTCCTATAAGGAGAGTGAGTACTGGAGTGGAAAAACGGATAGATTAAGAAGCAGAAAGGAAAAGGGTTATAATTATTGCTGTGTAAGTCTTAATATCTAAAGCTTATTTGAGTGTTAAATTGTCAGACACTGTAGTAAGTGCTTTTACATGTACTATGTGTTAAAAAAAAAACAAACAAGAAATCTAAAAGTATTACAGGCATTGAGGGTCAGGTTAATGTTCCAGTAGCTGGGAGATGTCTTCATGAATCTTTTTCCCTCCAGAAGTGGGAAGTAATAAAGCATAGTGATGAGGAGGACAGGCTCCAGAATTAGATTGCCCAAGTTTGAATCAGTGCTTTACTACTTAATAGTATTAAGTTACTTAACCCCTCTGGGCTTAATTGTTTAACCACTTAAAAAGGGATAAAATGAGCACAAAGTCTGTCAGAGCTATTGTAATGATTTAGGGCCTGGAACATAATAAATAGTCCTTAAAGTGTTAACTGTTAGGGTTTGGTGCATGGGAGCAGAAAAAGTAAAAAGAGGGCTGAGTTAGGTTTGGAGACATACCTCTCCAAACAACATTTTTCAGGAAGTTACCCCCAGGCTGTGTCAACCAAAAAGCCGCCAGCTTCTTAAGGGACAATCCTCACCAAACGATGTTCGGAACCTCTCAGGTGAAATTTGCATTTGTACATTTAATATATATAAGATAAGTAATTTATCTTAACAGTACAGATAAAGCCAGGTGGCAGCAGGGATGAGACCTTGACTGCTTGCTCTTTACTGCCTGTCAGGCATTCTTCCCCCGGTATGCATGTCCCAGGTTCAGGTTTTTAAGTATGTCCCCTTATAGACTGTTTCCTCAAGGGGGAAACCTGAGTCTAACTGTGTGATTATACCACCTTTTCCCATGAATAAAGAAGTAAAAACTAGTTAATTCAAACAATCAAACCAGAATAAATTACATTTATTTTGTAAAGGTGTTTTTTAAGCAAATAGAGTCACAAGCAGCTAAACTGTGGAATTGAGCCCTAGTTTTTGGTGTTTGTTTACTATGAGAGATAGCAAAAATTAAGAGAAGAAATAACAACTAAAACGAGAAAAATTTTCCATGTCCTCCAAGAGCGGATAGAGAATGTATTCCTTTTCCAAAAAGGAATTAGGGAAAACAGAGAAAACGAACCCTGTATCCTGGTGAGTACAATTTTTGTTAAAAAGTTTCTTTCATTTTCAGTGCTCCCTTAATTTTATACTTCTAATGCTTTATTTTTTAGCTATCTTTCCTTTAATTCCTGAATTTCTTTAAGTGGAATGTTTGACCAAATCACAAGTAGAGACTTCTCTTTACTCTCATGAATGTGTATAAGCAAATGACGTTACTTCCAAATGTAAAACTGTTTCTGTCGCATATTGCAGAAGATGAAATGGGCAATTAGGAGCTCTGCCGTCATGCAGCAGAAGGGACACACTTGACAGCCTCCCAGGCTCTTTGTAGTCTGTACCATTTGACAATACTATCAAAACATCAAATTCTCTGAGTTTACATTTACACCAAGTTTTTTTTAATTTAAAGCTTAAAATGTAAAGGGAAAATAGGACTTAACCGGACTTCTTTGAATTTGATGATATATTTAGTAAACAGAACTTAGGCCATGGAGTTATAATTTACACACCTGTATCTTCTAGGAGATTAAGTGAGAGAGAGAGGATTGGAGAACTGGGAGCTCCTGAAGTATGGGGACTTTCTCCAAAGAATCCAGAACCAGAGTAAGTGATTAAAAGTTTTTTGTAATAAATCCCACTTGGTCATGATGAGTGATCTTTTCAATGTATTTTTAAATTCAGTTTGCTGATATTTCTTGTTGAGGATTTCTGCATCTGTTCACTAGGGATATTGGTCTGTAACTTTTTTGTAGTGTCTTTGTCTGGTTTTGGTATCAAGGTTGTGCTGGCCTCGTAGAATGAATGTGGAAGCTTTCCTTCCTCAAGTTTTTGGAATACTTGGAGGATAGGTGTTAACTCTCTAAATGTTTGGTAGAATTCTCCTATGAAGCCATCTGGTTCTTTGTTTCTTGGGAGTTTTTTGATTACCAATTCAATTTCGTTACTAGTAATTGGTCTGTCTGTTCGGATTTTCTTTTTCTTCCTGGTTCAGACTTGGAAGATTGCATGTTTCTAGGAATTTATCCATTTCTTCTTGATTGTTTGTCCAATTTGCTGGCATATAATTTTATAGTCATCTCTTATAACCATTTGTACTTTTGTGGTGTCAGTTGTAACTTCTCTTCCTTCATTTCTGATTTTGAGTCCTCTCTCTTTTCTTGATGAACCTAGCTAAAAGTTTATCAATTTTGTTTATCTTTTCAAAGAACCAGCTCTTAGTTTCATTGATTTTTTTTTTTTTTTTTTTT